GGTAGTGAGTTGGGCATATTTCTGAATTGCGATTTCCGACAAATTTTTATTTTTCAACAGTTTTGATGATGGAATTCATGAACCTGTAAATGTCAACAGCCGAGAAAAGATCTATAAATCGTAACTAGTCTGTTTTTGGCCTAAACTCCCAAAACCAGCAACTGGAGCACACGGAAATATCGATTGTTTCTCTGCCTCCTATTCGTCCATCATAAAACGTTCTATAATCTGAGCTAATTGCTGTGCTACGAGCTCTTTTAGATCAGGGAATACGTGTGGGAATTGTTAAGGAAGCGAACGTAGCTTTTCGACAGGCATAACACTTTTTTGCAATGCAATTTTCATTGCGATGGGGGAAAAGGCATGAGGCAAGAAGTTGTTCTCATATTTTCTAAGCTTTTCACTTCTAACTCGATCGACGTAGATTTTACGACATCATCTGTACTGTCTAAACGGTGAAGCATAAGTTACACAACGCCCTCTTTTCTCCCTCTCCCCTTTTCGTTAATCTCTATTATTCATTCGAGTGTACCAGCGGTGTATAACTGGAAAATTTAGACATTGATTTATTCACTGCCATGTTTGATTGACCAATTTTGAGCCATTTCGCACGTTTATCACCCTCACAGCCGAATATCCGCTTCTGGTCTTTTTGTATGTAAACTATAGAACAAGCTGATCTGTTAGTTGTGCGTTTTATCGAATAACGTCGTGGTGAATTGTTGCAGATACATCATCATTATCAGATAACACCTGAAGTTCGGCGTGAATTGCAATCCGTGGAGAAGAAAGAACCGGATTCTGCAGCAATGGAGTGCTAGTAATGCTTATGCATGGAGATGTCTGGATGAGTTTGTCTTTTATTTTTGAAAAAAGCGAAGGCCTTATTCCTAAACTCGTTTCGTTCGCGCCTGGGGATGGATTGCAATGTCTGAGGGTTCTGGTGACGACCGGTTTCTCTTCAGGCTCAATACGCAAAGCAGTAAACTTTACTAGTAGAGCGTAGCCTTATAATTCGACCTATTTCCTTCCTCTCACTAATCCTTAACACTTCGACGTAATTTGCTCCACTCACTAATTTCTAACACTTCCACAAATTTCTAAATAATTCCATATTACCTGCCTTCTCACTTACCGACTACCTTGCCCTCCTTTTCCCTCCATTAATTTTCCCTATATAAACCCCACCCTGGTCCTTTAGTCTCGGAATCAACGCGCGTCACTGGTCTGCCGCATCCTGCCACAACTAACTCTACTAACTAGCCGTCTCGACACCACTAGCGTACCCCTTCTACTCATTAGCTTGTGCAACGCCCCCGCTCATTGTTTTATTGAAATGAAGCTTTTGCTGGGAATAAAGTGCTGGCACTCTTCGCTGTCTTCCGCTGTTGTAGTCAAAAACCACGTGAGGACCGAAGAGTAGCACGAAACAACGAGAATGCGGAGTCGAAAACGTTGACCGCTAATCACACACTGAATGCAACAGTCACATTTGCGAGTATTTGTACTTTTCATTGGGGGCGAGAGATCATGGTAAAAGGTCAAAGAGATGGGGTAAGGGGCACTATAGTTTGGAACAGCTCAACCGCTCACGTGCCACAGTGCAGAATGGCCTGCGTGCGCAAATACGTTTGTACGCAATTTTTTCACTTATTGAAACTCGGTTTGTGTTAACGAGATCTGGTTGTAGTGCTGATTTGGAATGTTTACGACTTAAGGGACTGAAACATCCCATTTCAGTGGTTTACTTGCTTCAGCTTTTATTAATTTTTATACACTGGTTCTATATGTTAAATCATTTTAATGTTGTTTTATTCTTAGCTTATTTCACATTGCAAATCTGACTTCCTATTTTCTCCTCATCATTTGTAGGCCTCTTATTTCGTCACTTTATAGTGTAGTAATTACGATAGTTTATAACTGTTTAGTATAATGTGTTGATGTATTTAGTAATGTTAGTCATGTTCTGATGGTGTCATCAACTGCAAGACATAAGATATAGTGTAGTGCATTATTTATAACCGCTGTGGATTTCAGTACATTGATCAGACTAAACGAGCCATGCAGGTTCGGTAATGGGAATGCAAAAATAATGCCGGAAAAAAGAAATTTTCGAATTTTTTTAACA